CCACCCTGAGGGTAGCCTGTCCCCTGGGGAGCAGTAAGAAGCCAGAACCGAACTGGCCAGCGACCACGTCCACTCACCATCCGGCGTTGAGACCTGGGCCTGGTCTCCCTCATGCTCCCCGAGGCTCTACCTGAGGAAGGCCAGGACCCGAACATCCCCGCCACGGCTGCTCATGGGCTGTGTGGTGGTTTTCTCGTAGATAAAGACCGTGATGTTTGACAAGACGGGCACCATCACCCACGGGGTCCCCAAAGTCACACGCTTCCTCCTGCTGGTGGATGTGGCCGCGCTCCCTCTCAGGAAGGTCCTTGCTGTGGTGGGGACCGCCGAGGCCAGCAGTGAGCACCCCTTGGGCGTGGCGGTCACCAAGTACTGTAAAGAGGTACGTGGCCCCGGGCACTGCCCTGTCCCCACACCTCACAGAGGAGTGGGAGCCCGAGAGCACCTGCCCTTCCCCGCCTCCCACCTCACCCCCTGGCTGCCAACAGTGTCCGAATGTGGCAGCTGGAGTTCATGAACCCCTAGAAGGTGCCTATGAGCAGGCACAGGTGTGCATGCCCACAGTAGGGCGCTTGTGGCATCTAACGTCAGCTTAGCCATTGATGCGGCAGGCATTTACGGGCGTGGGTGCACATACGTGCCCAGGGCTGTGCAGGGGGCTGCGGGGGCATGAAGACAAGGGTGGGGCAGACTCTGCCGTTTGGGAGCACAGAGCACATAAACCGAGCCCATTCTAGAGTCGCCGCGTCAGAGGGGCCCAGAAACTACCGGGGTGGGAGCTTCAGGTGAGGGAAGGAGGCGTCGATTTAGCTGGGGCGGCAGGAGTGAGCCCAGTGCCCAAGGTGAAAAGCCCTGCAGTCTGTCCATCCCTCCAGTCTGTCCATCCCTCCAGTCTGTCCATCGCTCCAGGAGAAGGGCACCCCGGGAGCTGATCTTGTAGAGGGGGCAGGGGGTGTCAGACCACTGCCCTGCAGGAGTGGATGTTGCTGGTCAAGGGCAGCCATCGTCCAGACAAGAAGGTGACCTCGAGGCCCCAGGCAGAAGTTGCCAGGTGCTAGCTCCCCTCCTGGGCAGGACCACCCTCCGAATCCTCAGAATGTTCTGTCTTCATTCCGGAAGAATCGAGCTCCTCCCCAGCCACCCTTGCATTTGCACTCTTTGCTAACCTGGCTAAGTACCAGCCCCCCTTGCTGTTACCCTGCCCTGCCGCCTCCTGCCTGGGCCCAGCAGATGGGCAGTTGTCTCTGCTAGGGGCCAGATAGCCCCCAAATAGTTGTGTCCCCGCTTCTCCATCGTTTTTATGGAATTCTAGGGCCCCACTGGTCTGGTGGGCTACACATTGAGCTGCTAACCACAAGGTCAGTGGTTCAAACCCACCAGCTGCTCCGAGGGAGAGAGAAGGCTGTCTACTCCCATAAGGCTGACAGCCTTGGGAACCCAGAGGGACAGTTCTCCTCTGTCCTCTCGAGTGGCTGTGAGTCAGAGCACTCGACGGCAGTCAGTTCTGGAGACCCTGTGACCGCTCCTCTCTGGCAACCCCGCATGTGCTGAGTTCTTTGCTGGGAGCGCCTTTCTCCTTGGGGTGTGTAACCTGTCCAGGTACCACGGACCGGCCACCAAGGGAGCAGGTCTAGGTTGTGCGATCTCGTTTCGATGTAGTCACGGAATCATCTCTCACCAGATGAGAGGGAAGTCACTGCCGAGCTCGCAGTCTGTGTCCCCTGCCTTCCCGATCCATTCTCCGTTTCTTCCCCCTTCCCTCCACTCCCTCACGGTGGCCTCTCTCCCCTTCCTTCACAGGAACTTGGAACAGAAGCCCTGGGCTACTGCACGGACTTCCAGACAGTCCCGGGCTGTGGCATCGGCTGTAAGGTCAGCAACGTGGGCGGCACCCTGGCCCCGAAGGAGCACCTGAACGGAGTGAGCAACGGGCCCGCCGAGAAAGGTAACACCAGCCGTGGTTCGGCTGCCGGGGCGGCAGGGGACCTGCAGGGCCTGGTGGGGTGCAGGTGGAGGTCCGTTGTGGTTTGGTGCATTGGTGCTTTGGCACTTGGGTAGGTGGAGTGGAGCAGTGCCCGTCTGGTCCGTGATCTTGGGTCTCCTCTTTCTTGGCCCAAACTCATCTTCTCCCTCAGACAGCACACAGCAGCTGGGGGTCCCATGCTTGTTCTCTCTGTCTCCCTCCCTCAAGGGGGGCCTCTGGCGTGTCATGGGCAAGAGGCCAGGGGGAGCCGCGATACCGCTTGGAGGGGCGGCAACCTACCTTGTTCCATCCCCCATGTAAGACCACTAGCCCCCTGCCCCCCCAGCCCAGCTCCAGCATTTGCTCTGAGTCATGAGTCTTTATTTGGATTGGGGGTGCTAACGTCACCCACGGCCTGGTCCCTGGGAGCCCCGCCCAACTCCAGGATGGCCTTTCCGCGGAGCTCCCCAGACTGCAACATGCAGAGGGTTCAAGAGCGCCCCCGTGCAGTTGTCGTACGATGCCCCTGACTCATGGCGAGCTCCTGTGTCCCCATAGAACTGTGCTCAGTGGGACGGCACAGGGCTTTCACCGGCAGCAGGTCTCCAGGCCTCTCTTCCGGGGTCCCTCTGGGTAGACTCACACCACCGACCTTGACATCAGCCGCTGAGTGCAAACCATGCGCCCCACGCAAAACCATGCCACAGTCGATTCTAACTCACAGCGACTCCCTACAGGAGCAGGCAGCCTCCTCGGGCTCCCTCAGAGCAGCCGGTGGGTTTGCACCGACAGCACTTGATCTGCTGCATCTCCTGGGCACCTTTGCCCCCACCCAGAGGCCTCACCTAAATAGACCGTCTAGCCACTTGCTGGTGTACCTTGAGTGAACAACCATTATGCTAACTAACATTTGCTTCTAGTGCCTGGCAAATAATGAACTGCTTCTCACCCCTGTGGCACTGTCAGGGGAGGGTTGGAGTGCTACCTGTAAGGTCAGTGGTTCAAATCCACCAGCCGGTCTGAGGGAGAAAGATGAGGCTGTCTGTAAAGAGTGATAGCCTCAGAAGCCCTGTAGAGGGTCCCTATGTGTCCGAATGGTCCCGAGGGTGGCACATCTGGTGTGCTCTGTTCCCTGTAGGAAAAGATTTGGCTGATGCCTCTGAAGGGAAGTAGAGATAGCAGCTGGGTTGGGCACGTTGACAACACACGCCTCTTAGCGCCCCGGGAGCACCCACACGTGTCTTAAACACGACTTGCACTTCTCCCTGGGCCTTGAGGGGCGGTGTTCTCGGAGGCACTGGCTGGGTGAAGGTTTTTCAGGACTGCCCATGTCTATGGTGCTGGCCTAGTTGGGAACCCCCCGCAATCCCTTCTGAGCAGACGCGGCCCCCGAGACCTTCTCCGTGCTGATCGGGAACCGCGAGTGGATGAGGCGCAATGGCTTGTCCATCTCCAGCGACGTCAGTGCCGCGATGACAGACCACGAGATGAAAGGGCAGACGGCCGTCCTGGTGGCCATCGATGGTACCTATCCCCTCGGGCCCCCCTCCCTGGGGTCGCCCCCACCCCCACTCTCAGCCCAAAGCCGCTCTTGCCATCAGCCTTCACCCCCAGAGCAGTGCTGCCTGGCAGTGGTCTCCTTGCCCTTGGACTGGTCACTATCCTCTCCGCCCTCCTTGGTCACTGCCCAGGTGGCTGTACCAAGTCAACTGACCTCTCGAGTGTCACTGCTTTGAGAGGGTACCGCGCCCTCAAACCCACAGGCCACCCGGGGCCTGGCCTCCCCCAGGCTCTACAGAGGATGCCTTTATTAAGCATTGGTAAGCTCTGTTTTCACAAATCATGCTTCGTGCATGGAAGCACATGGGGCTGTCTGTGCCTCGGGCTTCCTATGACAGAAACGTTTGGCTCTTTCTTGGTTTTCTGTTGGTAAAAGGAAATTTTTTAAAAAGCCAAACTCACTGCCCTCGAGTCGTTTCTGAATCTTAGTGACCTCACAGGACAGAGTAGAACTGCCCCTGTGGATGTCCAAAGCTGCACCTCTTCAGGGGAGCAGAAAGCCTCATCTTTCCCCCGTGGAGCAGCTGGTGGTTTCAAACTGCTGACCTTGCCGTTAGTAGCCCAGCATGTAGCCCACTGCACCCACAGGCCCCCTTAATAGACATAAAAGCACGTGCACGGCAGAAGCAGGCATTTGTAGAGCTATATTTTTTAACATTCCAGCCAAGTAAGCCTTCTTTTCCCAGCCCCACTGCGATCCCTGCTCCAAAATCCCTGTGAACCCCTGCCTTCTGAGCTGGTCCACAGCGTCTGCCTGTTTCCAGGGCTGGTCCCCTTCCGTAGCTCACACGCCCTCCCCCTGTTCTTGTGCCCGTGTCAGACCTCTGGAGCCTTGCTGTCTCTGTATCCAAGCTTCACTCCCAAGAAAGCTCCAGCGACGTGTTTTCGGTGGAGGGGACGAAAGAGGAAGGACGGGTTTTCAGGTGGCTTGGCTGCACCTCACGTTCTAAGTGCCGTGTGGTCGGTTCTCGTGTCTCCATAGCAAGTGCTCCCTGTGGTCTTACGAAGAGCCAGGCATCGGCACAGGAATGTGTACTCCCTGCAGAAGAATTTTCTGCAGCGTTAGAAATAAGAAGATGAGGCCCCCGCACACGCACACACAATCCTATGGCTAACACCAGGCTTTTGGTCGCATCTATCTTTAAAAAAAAGCAACCCACGATCAGCTGCACCATTTGACGCATGGGTTTTTGCGTTTAATGCTAAGGAAAGCATTCGGGGGTGGGGATGGGGGTGTCCTGAGTGGGGCCGCAGGCGTCATTTGCCTCCATCGCTGGTCCTGCCCCAGGTGTCCTCTGCGGCATGATCGCCATCGCGGACTCTGTCAAGCAGGAGGCCGTGCTGGCTGTGCACACGCTGAAGAGCATGGGGGTGGACGTGGTTCTGATCACCGGGGACAACCGCAAGACGGCCCGGGCCATCGCCACGCAGGTACGAGCTGGCCGCCGGGCTGCTTCCCTCTGTAAGGGGGCGCGTTCCTCAAGCCACCAGGAGTGTGTCAGGCTGACAGCTTTCTCTGGGGCAGGCAGCGATCCCCGCCGTGTGCCCTATTCCACTCAGAGACACCCCGCAGCTACCACGTGAAGACTGCGTCTCGGGCCTCGGGCCTGGGTGCCGTGATGAACACGGGCCTGCCATGGCCCCGGAAGGCAGTCCCAGCTCTCGAACCGTTTCCCTGCTTTTGAGCTGGGCCCCGGCGTCAGGCAGTCAAGACTTGGGCTAAAATAAAAGGCTTCCCCCTCTTAATGGTCAGAGGGTGTTTTGCCCACTCATCCCACCCAGCGGGTGCTCACCAGTCAGTGAGGGGGTCCTGGGCTGTGGGGATAGCCTGCCCCGTGGCTGCCTGACCCCCAGCGGGACTGTGGCTCCAGCGTGAGGTCCTGGAAGTTGTGCCCGCCCACACAAACCCTGTGTGCAAAGCTGGGTGTTTGTACGAAGCCACAGCTTCCTAGGAAGGAACCCACAGGACCGGCCTGCCTTCCTGCTGTGGCTCCTGGCGCCATTCTCATCCCTGGTTAGGACTTTCATCCACAGACCGGCCCGTAGGCAATGAAGCCTGGGCCTGCCCTCGGGAGGCTCATGGTCAGTGGAGAGGTAGCCCGGTGGAAGCCTTTGGCTCAGTGTCCTGGCTGGATGCTCCAAGGAGCAGCTGGCAGGGCCAGTGACGGGGGCCCAGGTGCCTGTCAGGAGCTGGGGGGCGGGGGGAACAGGTCAGCTTGCAGGGGGCAGGCTGAGCAGTGCAGTAGAGAGAGAATCACAGGATGAGTTGAGGAGCTGTGGGTAGTGAGGTGGATACAGAGTCAAGTGTGGGGCCAGCGGACCACAAGGCTGGGCGCCAGGGCTGGGCAGAGGCCAGGTGGGGAGGAACCTAGTCCTGCCCACTGAGGGTGGGGAGGTCTCTGAGGAGGTTGGCCTCTGTTGCAGCAGAGTTTTGTTGTGTGCAATCTATCAAGCGTGCCGTCCGGTATGTTAACCGTCTATGTGAGCCATTCATTACCAAGTGCCAGTCCTTACCGTGTTGTACAACTGCCACAGCTGCCTGTCCCCGAAGCCCCATGGAAAGCTTTCAAGCAGAGGAGTAGGCAGTGGTTCGTTTTGGGAAGCCTGCTGGGCCAGAACCGGGTTAGGAGCCAGCGAGGAAGCCCTGTGAAAATGCGGGAAGGCTAGGTAATGTAGGGCCGTTGAGCTGGAAAGGGGAGCCCAGTTGATGCAGGGCCGCCAGTCCCCGAGACGTGTGGCCTGGCTTTGGAGGAGGGGAGATGGGAGCCGGAGGCCTTATGGGCTTCGGCCTCCACTGGCCGTGGTCGCCCTGAGTCAAGTGTGGCTGTGTTTCTCGTCTGACAGCGCCTCCTGCCCTCTTAGGTCGGCATCAACAAGGTCTTTGCCGAAGTGCTGCCCTCCCACAAGGTGGCCAAGGTCCAGGAGCTGCAGCTCCAAGGGAAGAGGGTTGCCATGGTCGGAGACGGGGTCAATGACTCCCCGGCTTTGGCCCGGGCCGACGTGGGCATTGCTATCGGGACGGGCACGGACGTGGCCATCGAGGCGGCCGACGTGGTTCTCATCAGGGTGAGTGTGGCTGCCCTCTCCCCCTGCGGGGCGTGGACAGACTCCTCACCCCCAGCCCTCCCTCTCACGCAGAATGACCTCCTCGACGTGGTGGCCAGCATCCACCTTTCCAAGAGGACCGTGCGGAGAATACGGACCAACTTGGTCCTGGCGTTGATCTACAACCTGATTGGGATACCCATTGCGGCAGGTAGGGGTGGCTCTCGCCTCCTGGCTTGTCACCTTGTGTGGCCTCCTACCCACCCCCCCACCCCCACCCCCTGCTTCCCAACTCTCTCTCCCAAGTCCCTACAGAGCGTGTTATGCAGCCCACCCTGCTGGCTGCACAAACACCTCAGAAAGAGCTGGGGTTCTGTCGTTGTCTGTGAACCCTGGTGGCAAAGTGGTTCTGCGTTGGGTTGCTAACCACAAGGTCAGCAGTTCAAAACCGCCAGCTGCTCCACAAGAGGAAGGCGAGGCCTTCCACTCCCATAAAGAGTTACCTTCTCAGGAACCCGCTGGGAGTTAGTTTGGGTTTTGCTTTTGTTATGTCTCTGAAGACAAAGGAGACATGGCCAGGGGACCCAGCCCTCTCAGTAGGCTTCCCCAGAGCTGGAAAGTCTGAGAGTAGATCCACTTCAGCTGTGTTTCTCACAGTGGCCGCCCTCCCGTCCCTGCCGAGCAGCGAGCGTGAAAAGCCTCCACTGACTGCTCTTGCTCTGGAGCCCTCCGCTCCGTCGCCCCCTCTGGTCCTCTCAGTCGCTTGCTCGTGGGCATATTTCCTGCACCACTCACTCGTTAAGACCTGGGGTCTGAAAATTAATCATGGGGGATGGTTGCTGGCACTGTGACTGGCATTTCAGAAGCCCTTTCTTTTTTTAAATCATTTTATTGGGCCCTCGTACAACGTTTATCACAATCCATACACACATCCATTGGATCAAGCACATTTGCTGCCATCATCATTCTCAACACATCTGCTTTCCAGTCGAGCCCCTGGAATCAGCTCCTCACTTTTCCCTTCCCTTCCTGTTTTCCCTCCCTCATGAACCCTTGATAATTTATAAATTATTATTTTGTCATATCTTACACTGTATGATGTCTTCCTTCACCCACTTTTCTGTTGTCCGTCCCCCAGGAGGAGGTTATATGTAGATCCTTGTAATCGGTTCCCCCTTTCTATCTCACCTTCCCTCCACCCTCCCGGTATCACCACTCTCACCACTGGTCCTGAGGGGATCATCTGTCCTGGATTCCCTGTGTTTCCGTTTCCCATCTGTACCAGTGTACATCCTCCAGTCCAGCTGGATTTGTAAGGTAGAAGTGGGATCACGATAGTTGCGGGGAGGAAGCATTTAAGAACTAGTGGAAAGTTGTATGTTTCATCGTTGCTACACTGCCCCCTGATTGGAGAAGCCTTATCTTCAAAGGGAATCCTGCCCAGGTTTTCTGCCGAGACACAGAAATGACCCTGGAAGGAGATGAATCTCTGTGCTTTATATCTCTGCACACACACACACACACATTCTCTCTCTCTCTCTCTCTCTGAAACCTTGTGGAGCTTTATATCTCTGCACACACACACACACACACACACACACACACACATTCTCTCTCTCTGAAACCTTGTGGAGCTAGGGGACAAAGCCCCGGTACTTCTGTGAAGAATGCTCCCGTGTGGGCTGAGGACCCGTGAGGTGCTTACACCCTGACTGAGCCCGAGGGTTGGCGGTGACTTGGTCACAGGGATTCATCCGTCACCTCCGTCCCTGCCCAGAGCCCTGTCAGGAGCTAGTCCCCTGCCCCAGATGTTGGACGGTGGCTAGACTATCATCTCTCTTTAAACAAGGTCCCCTGAGGCCCTTGAGGTAAGATGATCTGTAAAGACCCCAACTGTGATTGGCAGCTGGGTATGGAGGACAGAGTATGCCTGCACCTCCACTACTCACTCCCCTGCCACTCCACCTCACCCCTGCTCTGCTCTGCACCCCTCCCCACCGAGAAACCCCAAACCGAGCCTGCTGCCATCTGGCCGATGCCAACTCACAGTGAGCCGCAGGACAGGGCAAAGCCGCCCCCTTGAGTTTCTGAGACGGGAACTCTTCACGGAATAGAAAGCCTGTCTTTCTTCCACGGAGCGGCTGGTAGTTTCACACTGCCCACCGGGCAGTTAGCGGCCCCGTGTGGAACCACTATGCCACCAGATCCCCTGCCCCGACCTCCCTGCGGCCCTCCGGAAACGGACCGAGCATCCCCACGGGGGGCTTCCAGAAGGTCAGGGCAGGCCCTGGGCTGCAGTGCAGAGCTGTGTCCTTCCCCTCGTGGTCAGGTGTCTTCATGCCCATCGGCATCGTGCTGCAGCCCTGGATGGGGTCGGCGGCCATGGCGGCCTCCTCGGTCTCCGTGGTGCTATCGTCCCTGCAGCTCAAGTGGTGAGTCCCCAGTGGGCTGGAAGGACGTGGGTGTGGGGGTGCGGTTGTCGCAGGGTTTGGGAGAGCTGATGGCTAGGAAACATCCCAGTTTGCCTGAGGCAAAGAGCGGGGCGACAGCCTCCCGCTGAGCCAAGCATGGGCTTCTTTATGGAGCATCCACGCACCACCACCACCCTGCACCCCCTCCAATGGCCGGGCTGCCCTGGTGACCCTGTGGACGTGGCGGAGGGAGTCCCTAAGGACAGTCATTCCTTCCTTCATCTCCGAGCATGCGTAGCAGCCTGCTGTGTGTAAGGTGTTTAGGTAACACTTTTCTCTATCAGGTGAACAGGATTTGAACCGTAAGTGTTTCGTAGCCCTTCTCTCTCAAAGCCCGAGAACTTTCGAGACTGACAGCGTGTGAATGATCTGTGAGGGGGAGAGACCGTTGTCAGCCTTTGCAGCAAAGGCCAGTCTCCCATATGCCTCAGGTGCTGTCGCATGTCTTACTTGCAGCTACAGGAAGCCAGACTTGGAGTGGTACGAGGTGCAGGCCCATGGCCGCCTGAAGCCCCTGACCCCATCCCAGGTCAGCGTGCACATCGGTTTGGATGACCGCCTGCGGGACGCCCCCCGGCCCTCGCTGTGGGACCAGGTCAGCTACGTCAGCCAGGTGTCTCTTACCTCAGACAGGCTGTCCCGGCACAGTGCCGCAGCCGACGACGGCGGGGACAAGTGGTCCCTGCTTCTAACGGACAGGGATGAGGAGGAGTACATCTGAAGGCTCCAGGCAGGTGCAGATCCAGCAGGCTTGTCTCCAGGGAGCAGCTGTGCCCCTAACACGCTGCTGGCAGACTGAGGGCACTGTGTGGCACAGCAGCCAGGGCCAGGGTGGTGGAGCCAGCAGACCCTCCCGGCCCTCCCTGTAGCCATCTCCTATTGGCCATGCGAGCAGCATCCGTCTGAACAGGACTGACCTCCCTGGGCCCTGCTGGCCCCAGGGCATGCCTACCTGGCCGCCTCCTCCCCTTCCTCCTCCTCCTCCTCAGTGACTTCGGCTTGGACAAGAGGGGAGAGCAAGGTGGGCCTCCTCCCCGGCCTCAGCTCTTCTCTGTGGATGACTACTTGCAAAAGACCAGGAACCTCATCAGAACCAAAAACTGAGCCAGGTCTTTCCGTAGGACTCAAGAGCACTATGTTGGGCTCTTCTGGTGATGTCCCCACGTGTGTGAGATCACAGTTTATACCTCAGCTGCACCTGCTGTGGTCTGTTAGCGCCACCTCATCCTCCTCTTCTGCCTGTGCTCAGTGTCCAGCCGTCCTGGAGGTCCCTGCTGCCATCCCCCAAACACACTCTGTCTGCGCACTTCCTGCCCAAGCCTGTCCTCTCCCACACACGCCTTCTCCGCTTCCTCAAGTTCAGACTCATCTCGAGGTGTCCTGGCTTCCCATCCCGGACTCTGGACAGTCCAGTCTTCATGCAGGCAGGCTGAGTCCCGTGGGAGGCCTTCCTGGTGCTTGACGTGAATGCCCTGTAAGGTTAGGAGGGTGCGTGCAGGGGTGGCTGGCCAGGCCCCAGGGGCACAGCCTACCTTGTGTTCTATGTAGATGTCACCTCTCAGAAGCTACTAGATAATGCTTGGGAGTGGTGCCCTGGAGTCAGCAGGGACAGCCCAGTAAGTGAGTCACCGGGCTCCTCCAATAGCCTTCTCCACATGTGCCTTAGGACAGCGGTGTCCCAAAGGAAGAGACTCTTTTTTCCCAGGGCTCCAAATGAGTCCCACCATGGCCAATGCAGCGAAATGGAAACTGACCTGAATTTGTAAAACATGGGTGTTCCGGAATGGGCAGATGACGAGCCCCAGAATGAGAGACTCAGAAGAGCCCCAGTGAGCCCTTTCCAGAGCCTGAGGCTGGAGACTGGATGGTCCCCAACACTGGAGGCCGCCGTCTGGAAGCCGGCCACTGTCATTATCACCTCTGTCGGGGCTGCCCTGGTGTTCTAAGAGGGAGGCTAAGTTCCTAGGAGTATGCGGCCTATCATTTTTCCTTTTGGGTTATCATTCCAGTACGCCCACATTCTGAAAATGTGAGCCTCTGGTAGGGAGCTTTGTTGCCCAGGACGGCGCCAGAGAGAACCTGTTCAGAGCCTGCTCAGGCTTTCTCGCTCTGGGCGACTTCCTGGTGGTGACACGCCATCCATCCGAGCTGGGAGAGTGGATCGTGCTTCGACCCTGAAGTCGGCTGGTGATTGGCCAGAGCCACACGGGAGTGGACGGGTGGAATCTGACATTACATTCTTTAGAGGCCGGCGGTCCCATACAACAGATAATGAGACCGTGACCTAGTGTCAGTTATATCCCAGGCGAATGTCACCACTTTTGCTATGTTACCTCTACTCCTGAAAGCAAACTAGCAAGGTAGATCTCGGTGCCCCCTTTTCAGGTGAGGGAGCAGATTCCCGCCCCCGCCGCCGGTATGTGTGCCGGGGACAGGAATGTGAAGCCATGTCTGTTGGCTCGGAAGTCTTCCACTCTGCAGGTGCTCGAAGCTCCGCGTGCTGGATGAGAAGGAAGACGCGAGCAAACAGTTCTTGGCCCGGGAAGACCGCAGCTGCAGGGTTTGGTCTCGTGGTGACTGCTAGCGAGGTCTCATGTGGGCTGCATGGTTTCCTTTTTCCATGAGTTGACGTCTGCCGAGCTTCGTCCTCTGAAGTCCAAGTGCCAGCGTGGTTCGATTTTGCTTTTTGCCGTTTGGAAGCTGCCTCTCCCTCCCTGCTCCTCTCCCTGCACTGGGCCAGTCATCTCCCCCCATTCTTCTACCTGCCCGGGGACACCTCTAATCATGTTGTCTCTACAATGTAGTGTTGTGTCTTATGAAAAAGCTTTTAGCACCATAAATGTATGTATTTATGCGCATGGGGATATTTATGTGATTGAAAGAAAATAATGAATTAAAAAAAGAAAATAATGATTTAACTGTTCTAAGTGTAAGGGGGGATTTTGTTGTTGTTTTTGCCTTTTTTGTTGTTGTTGTTGTTGTTTGTTTTCCTGGAGACATTTTCTTTGGTCAGATAAGAACACTTCCCGTTTTAAAAATCTGTTCAGTAGAATAACGTTTCATGTTACACATCTGAAACTCTGCTTTGGTTCTGTCCTGTGAGACGCATGGGGTGGTGGGGGGCTGTGTGGTTGCTTTCAGGGAGCAGAAAGGTCAAGATTTTAACAACAGGGAGGGTGTGAGGGTCACTGGAGGCTTTCCCACCTGCCCCCCTCTGGTCTGCGCTGATGTTTTAAGCCAGTCTCATAAAACATGCAAAGTTAAGCAAGTTGTCTTTGTAGTGATTACGTCTTATTCACAGCGGTCAATAGTCACACATGTGTAGAATGACGAACGTTAAAGCATCAACCCTCAGCCCCTCCTGACATGGGCCCGAGTGGTGATATCTCAAACAGGAGGGTCTCCACCAACCTCCCAAAGGAGCGAATCACTCCTTCAAATCTCATGAGCAATAAAGCAAATGCTAACCCAAAGTATCACTGTTGCAGTCTAAGGGAGATGCTGTGTCCATGTCTTGCAAAGAAAGTCTTGGTTCTAGGGGGGGTGTGGTCAGGGAGGGAACCTACCTGTGTGGCTCTTGGCCCGGAAACTCAATAGCCACCAAGTGAGCGAGCATTCATCACTGCCAGCGGAAAGAGCCGTGTCCTGATTTCTTGCCAACTGCCTGTAAATCTGTTTGTTTTTCAGTGTGTCTCTTCTAACACTTGTGCCTGGGTTGGCTGATGTGTTTGGTGTTTTTCCATATACCTTAGGGGGTGTCTGTCGCACCTGGGTTGTGACTTGTATGTCCTTTCCAGGCTCACGGTCTATGTGTAATTTTCCATTTATGTTCGCAGCACCTGAGCCCTGAGTGGTGAGGTGGGAGGACTTGGAAGAGCCAGCTCTCATTCAGAAGGTCTGCTCCCACGTGGCCACACAGATGCCAAGTTAGGCATGAGATACACTTCTATGGGTGCCTTCAGGCCCTTGCCTACAAAAGGCTGTTCTCCTAAGTGTATATCTCAACCCAAGGCTATTTTAGGCTCCCCAGGCTTTGGGGTAGGTGTCTGGAAGAAGCCAAAGCAGTGTGAGTCAACTACTAACCTAACACTGGCTATTAGAACCCCCAGCAGAAAGAGTACTGGTCATCTTGTGTAAATATTAATGTTGAGAAGACCCTCAGCCCAGTTGTGGGGTGGAGAGTGGGAGTATACCCACCAATACACACATTTGACAGAGGACAATTGTACAACGCTACAAATCTATGCACGAGGTGGAGAATACAAGGGGCAAAGTTATGAAAACTTCTCAGACATAACACCTTGAAGGAAGGAGTCACTGGTGAGGCTCAAGGGCATACTCAAGGGCATCAAGATCAATTAGCATCATCGTCATCCACATGTTGTACCTCCTCCTATGGTGAGTACAACTAAGAGCTCATGAGCAGCTCTCTGAGGTTCAACCATTGGCCTCCCCATCTAAAGGGAAAAGATTCATGAAAATCAAAGATCTATGGAAATAATTGGCCCAATGGACAATACAAATGTCACTCTTCACAGCCCTGAAACCAGAAAAACTAGATGGTGCCTAGCTACCACTCCCTACTCTGAAAAGGATCACCTTGGAAGGTGTTGGGTAGAGTGGTCGAAAAATGTGGACCAAAACTCAAACAAGAGATCAGAGTCTATGTCTGTCACCGGTCAGATAGACTGGTGGGACCCCCAACACCATAGCTCTCAGTTGCCCTTCAGGCTGGAACTGAACTCATTGTCATGGCTCAATTTTTAAGCAAGCAATAGGTCACTAAGAAGCAATAATGCCAGTAAGGTATGCGGCCCTTAGAATAACCAGCCATTTGAGATCAAAAGGACAGCATTAACCCAAGTTCAGAAGGTTTAAGGAGGAGGAATGACAACAGTGAGATGCAACAAGATGCATATGTATTGCTGAATGTAAGACTGATTGTAAGCCTTCACCAAATTCACAATAAAAAGTAAAATATGTGTGTATATACATATTATACACTTAGGTTTTTCTAAGGGGCCCTCATGGCACAGTGGTTAAGTGCTCAGCTGGGGGTCAGCAGTTCAGAGCCATCATCTACTCTGAGAAAGATGTGTTTCCAGCAAGAATTAC